TCTTCTTCATATAGTTTGAGCTTTCTGTGTATTTGGCTTCTCTATACTTAGCATCTTTTGATGGAAGTCCCTTGGAGGTGCCTTCATGTCTTTGATTTGATTTCTTCTGAATCCACTGCTTCTTGAATTGTCGAGTGAACAATGAAAGCTGCTCTTGGAAATCTTCATCAAGTGACCAATCATGTTCTCTGTCATCTTCTATCTCAGTGCTGGGAAAAGCAATCTGCTTATCAGGTTTCCTTCGTTTATCATCTTCTGCCATGTCCAGTTCAATTGATTCGAGTATTCCCATAAGTGCATCAAGAGTCATGTTTTTGATGTTGTGGGAACGTCGAATGGCCTTGACATCCATTTCATATTCTTTTGGAAGTGATCTCAGCACCTTGAGAACCAGCTTGTTTTCTGGAATGGGTTCATTCAGTCGTGCAGCCTGGTTTGCAATATCTCTAACTCTTCCATGAAATTCAGTGATCTTTTCCTTCTCGTCCATGCGCAGATTTTCATATTGAGTCATCAAAATCTGATATTTTGCAGTCTTCACTTCCTCATCTCCCTCATGCGTGACTTCAAGAATATCCCAGGCTTCCTTGGCATTGTCACAGTTTGAGATGAGCTTGTATTGGGTAGAGTCCACTGCCCCAAAGATTGCATTTAAGGCTTTGTCATTAAACTCAGCAGCGGTTACTTCAGTTCTGCTATATTCTTCGAATGGTTTGATTCTTGACGTTGTCAGATCATCAGAGTATTTGCGCGGTTCAGTCCACCCAGTTTCTACACTTCTCCAGACTCCACCCCCAAGGGATTTGAGAAAGGCCCTCATCCTGCCCTTCCAGAAATTGTAGTTATGTCCACGCAGTAAAGGTGGTCTCCGAACATTCGCTCCTTCTTCCATGTCTCCCATGATATGATCGATAGCTAGTAAATTAAGCTATGAAGACTCTGATACCAAATGAAATTTCCACACCCACAACACAATATATAAACCAAAGATACACACACTTATCACAGCAGAAGGTGGTTAGAAATTGTGCTGTAGCGCAACAACTAAGTTTCACAGAATGCTACAACACCTTTTCTAACACCAAACAAAACAAAACGAAAGCAGGCAAAGACACAGAAATTTGTTTACGCAGTTCGGAGCCAACTCTCCTACGTCTGCGAGGCCCACATCCGTGTAATAGCCTTTCCACTAGATCATCATAAG